GAACAGACCTGGATCAATAGCATGCAGCTTCTACATGTGATGCCGGGAGCCACAGGTGGCAGAAAGAGCCAGCCTGGTTCTCCCTGAGCATGAACAGGCTCTGGGTCTTAGGCAGCGATGTGCCGCCAAGAGGTCTCTACCAGGAGCAGGCATAAGCACCCCAACAGCTGCTGCAGCTGCTGCAAGGGGGGGCTGTGCACCATGCAGGGGACCCACCTCTCCTGAGCAGTCCCCCCCACACCCATAAGAATCCACCCACAAACCCTACACCCCCAAACTACCCACACAAACCCCACCACCCACATACCCCACACCGCCCCAAACCCCAGCACAAACCCCACACTGCCCCCCACAAACCCTACACTAACCTCTACTCACCCACAACCTCCCCAAACCCACCCACTGCCACACTGCAGCCCTGCCTTGTGCCCACATCAGTGGTTGGACACGTGGCCCCGGCCTGGGTGGCTTCGGGTCCCAGGAACCACTTGGGTGTGTGATGGGCTGGAGGGGAGAGGGGGAGGTGCCAGCAGGGGTGTGTGCAAGAGAGAGAGAGAGAGAGAGCGAGAGAGAGAGAGAGAGGGGGGTCAGGGATAGGGGAGCGCTCCGCATAGGATGTTTCCCTTTGATCAGCCTGTGCAGTGGGAGGCTGGACAGGAAGGGAAGGGGCTTGCCCAGCCCAGACCCTGACTTGAGGGGTTCCCAGAAACAGCATGAGGATTGCTGGAGCCTAGGCACAGGTGCAGGGAGCAGAATAGCAAGGGTGGGCACTACTCAGAGCCACAAAGCACAGGTGGAACAGCTGCAGCTAGACTCATGTCCTGGTGCTGGGACAGAACTGCTACCAGAAGGGAGCTAGTGGGGGCAGGCAAGAGCTGCAGGTCAGGAGTGAGGGGTACTAGTAGGGCTCTGGGTTAAGAGTACAGGCAGGACACAAGCATATCAGTGCTGCTCAGCACCCCACATCCTGGTGAGCAAAGGGAGCAGGAACAGCTCGGATTTTTTTATGATAAAAAACCAAAAGCAAATGCCCAAGTGTATAGATATTTAGAATTCATTTTATGTTGATGATAGAGGCAATGGTAAGCTTCCAAATTGCTTTAAAAATTGTAAATAGATCAATAAAACATTGCTCAACTGATCTATGTATAGTGGCATTTCATTTTAATTGTGGAAGAACACAGATTTTCTGTATATTAGTAAGAGAATTTGGGGGGGGGGGGCACATTACTCAGAGAATTCGCAATTTTTAAAAACACCAGGATCTCTGCTAGTGAGGCAAGTGGCAGGACCCGGGCAGAGGAGCCTGCCCAGGGCCAGCACTGGGGACCCAGATGGATGGCAAACGAGGTGGCTGACCCCCTGGCCATTTGGGACCACAAGGACATGCTTCGACAGTTCAAAGTGGGTCACTACAAATTGCACATCTTCTGGGAAATAGCTGCTCAGATGACAGAGCAGGGACACCAGAAGATGTGACAGCAGTACTGCCTGAAGGCCAACTGTGAGGCCACGGCCCACTCGCAGCTGGCCCAGAGGTGGGGGCGGCTCTGCTACAGGTCTGGCAGGCTCGCAGCCATGGGACCTCAGCAGGTGGCAGCCAAGGGGACAGATGCTGTTGCAGTTGGCAGCAGGTCACAGCCAGGCAGCAGTCCCCATCGGCAGACTGCTGCAGTGGGTAGACAGTGCAGGGGCCACTCTAGATTAGGGCTGCTTCAGCAGTCCAGCTGGCACAAGGGGGTAGCATCCCCAGATACTAACTGGCCAGGCCACAGAAGCTCCTACGGGCAAGTAGCCCTGAGCTGCTCACTAGGGCAGCTCTTTATACTGCTGGGGCCAGCACAGGCACTAGCTCCAGCCTCTAGCTCCCCCTGAATGCAGATCCGAGAAGAGCTGGGCAGGGTCAGTTTTGCCCCAAGTGGCACAACTTGCCCCACACCAAAGTGTAAGTTTAGGCACATGTGCCGAGGCACAAATCTGGCATAAATCTTTGCCACTGCTATTTGAGCTGCTGCAAGCGCACGTGCCTGCATATGTGGACACGCCCTCTGGGCACTTCCAGACAAGCATGCACGTGCAGTCTGCAGCACCACAGATCTGTCTGCAGTGCCACACACCACATGCACTGCACATGCAGGCATTTGCCACGCTGCTAATTTGCAGCACAGCAGGGGGTTTTCTGACACCAAAACATCCTGGTATCAAAAGACCTGTGCCTGAAAAACTGGGGCTGTGCACGTGACAGCAGCATGTGCAGCCCGAAACCAAAGCCCGGCTGGTCAGACCTATGCTCTGGCTACCTACCAGGCTTCGCAAACCAGGATCACCACCACTGGAGCCCCAGGAGGCCCCCAGAGCCCCAGACAAGGCTGCTGGGTGGAACAGCTGCAGCTGGACTCATGTCCTGGTGCAGCTTCCCCTACCCCACCCAGGGCAACTTACTGGACTCCAGAGCATGTATGCAGGGGCATTCTCCAGGAACAATTAGCAACAGCACAAATAAGTGCTGCTGCCAGTTGCCCCCAGGGAACACACATTCCCACTTGTGGGGACACACCCTCTGGCCACGTCCAGATGAGCACAGATGTGCAGTAAGTGACACCGCACACCTATTTGTGGTGCCACGTACCAAACATGCAGGCATTCCCCTCACTGCTACCTTGCAGCACAGGGGAGGGGGGAGGCGGTTTGACCCTGGAGATCCTGGGATCAAAAAACCCCACACCACATGCTAAAAACAAGTGGGGCAGTGCACATGACAGTAGCGCACACCACCCAAAACCTGGCTGGCTGGCACCACACTCCAGGTGCCAGCCAGGCTCCCTGCTGCAGGAGTACCCCACTCAGGGTAACCTGCTGTATGCCAGAGCACAAGTGGCATGGGTACAAGTAGCAGCAGCACAAAGTGCTGCTGCTGCTATTTGTTCCCAGGGAAACAAACGTTTAAGGTCCTCTGGACACAGCCTCTGGTTGTACATCTTATCCATCTTGTTAATCATGTTTGTACACCTAACTGCAGCACCCTGGTTGTGAATCACTGGTCTAAATCAATCTCTCTTCAAAGCCTCTGTTAACAAAAGGAACATAACACAAGTTTAAAAGAAAGTTAATTTTATATTTCAACGGAGATGCAGTGCAGAATTGTCATTCAAACCAACTACCTGACCCTTACATGTTCATCTTAATACCAAAATTTCTCATTTTGACAGATGTCCAGACAAATGTTTTATTTTCCTCTCAATAAAAACATGTAATACACACTGCAACAAGAATCTCTCTGCAGCACAGTATTTCTTGGGTACATAGTAAACTGAAACTTAAGAGCTCTCTTTCATTTAATACTTTGCTAAAAGTCAATATATCTTAGCAAACCCTTTATATGTTTAAAAAACTAGAACCTCCATCATATTTAAACATACACATGAAAAACTGAACAAGTTTTACTTAGGAATTAAAAGCCATGAATTTGACTTTTTCATTTGTGGATATATCAGTATAAATTGTTTTTATTGCTAAAAGTCAATTTTACAAACCAAACTATTGATAATCTAACAAAAGCACTGAATTATAATTGGCCACGAGCATGCTGTAAAGAAATATACAAGGTGATTTTTTTTCAAGTTTTTATATCTGGAGAGAAATGAAATCTAAAATGAAGTAATACAAACAAACTATATTTTAAGATCTAACCACTATGACATCCCAAATATATGTATGTGTTTGTTTCATTGTTATCTGTCAGGTCTTACCATGACATTCCATGCTGGTAATCCAAAATATGAACCAAAAAAAACAAGTGCATATTAATTACCATTGTGTAGGTCTCTTATTTAAAAACCCATAATAAAAAGACTTCATCGAAATGTGTATAACTTTTTTTAACAGACAGCATTGTTAAGTGTTCTTAACTTGGATTCTGTAGAACAGATTTTTATTAATATTAAGTTTTGTAAATCTATCTAAAGTGTTTTCAAATAATAACAAGTGTTTTCAAAGTAGTTTTAATTTCAACTATTTTTTAATGTTATACAAACTACTGCATTGCTTTCAAACCACATGAAACATAATCCTTCTACTCTCCAGAAATCATACAGTTAAAGAAACATAAGTTATTGAAAATTAGCAATTTGGAGAAACGGGTCAAAGCTGTTTCAGTTACTATAGGTGCTCATGAAGCCCCTTCCCAATTGCTATGATTTTGCTACAGTTTTGTTTTGGGAAACAGGAATCAGCTAAACAAACAGTGACCATGGTTCTGATCCAGCAAACCTACCCATGTGAAGAGATCCCTGCCCTTCCTCTCCTTGCCCCCCTCAAAAAAGTCAATGAGTCTCCACATGCATGCAGAGGTCAGTCTGCAGTAAGCTACTTGTGCAACTGAGACCTAATTTAGCTATTTCTCCTAGACATGATATCTATGAAGATAGATTTCTATACCCAGGTGGAGCTCAACTGACTAAAAGGTCAGGACACATGAACTATACAGGGTACACACCAAAACTGACTACAGAGTACTGGGAAAAACACAGGGAAAACAAACTGAAAAGAAAGATTTGTTTTTTCCTCTAATCTCTTTCTTACTGCAGTAATTAGAGGTGTTACTTGTGTGACAGTAAATTTAAAAATCAAACTTTGTGAACTTTTTGAAGTTAACAGTGGCCTTTTAAAGTCCTGCAGAATACACAGAAGTGAAACTGACCTGTCTTGTTTCACTGTTTTAGGTTAAATGAAATGAAATGCAAAATTATGAAGTGGTGAAAAGTAAAATCTTTTCCAAAATCTCTTTAGTTTTACTAATAATGATGTATCTTCAATTATTAATAAAAATAAGGATGCTTATAAACGCACTTTTTTATTTCGAGACTGTCCCTCTACAATAGGTTTTTTGTTTGTTTGGTTTTTTTACATACATCTGCCTATAAATACATAGCTTATGTGCCTATTATAAAACTGTAATAGTGCAATAAAAAGTGGGTAACAGACTAAATACAAAATCTCACCTGCTGTTGTTGACTTTCCAACTCCACCTTTACCAGAAGCCAAAACCAGGACCTGCTTAACTCCTTCTATTGGCTTTTGTTTTGGAAGTCCTCGAGACATGATTTGAGCACGCTTTTCTTTCAGGAACTCATCGCTGGTATTTGATGACTTCAAAAGAAAAACAGTGTGTTACAGGCTTACATCAACGTGTGTTACAGCCACAAGCTCTGTGGCCTTTGCAATAAAACATGAAAGAACCTGGATTCCAGGGACTCGGGAGCCACCTACAACTCAATGGTCTTCCCTCCCCTCCAGCCCTTTCACACAAGGGTAACTAACAAATTCAGGGGTCATTCTCTTATTCACAAAGTTACTCGCATGCATGCATTCAAGATCAGACCCTGGCTCAAAGATGAATGCACTGGTGTCAGTAAAGTTACACCAGTACAGAACTACTTAAGTGTTATCAACCCCAAATGATCGAACCTCAGCTGCTCAAAAATCATAAGTGGGGCCTCAAAAAGGAAAAACAAAGAAATGTCAGCCAGGTGTTTTAAAAATCCTAAGACATTAAACATTAGTTTAGGGGGGTCGTTTGTTTGTTTTTTCAGTTTCTATTTTGCCCCCCCCCCAGCCCACAACCGTGTGCGATAGGGATTCCCTTCCCTCTCCCAAAAGAAACGAAAGCCTTCCCTTGGAAGGGACCCCAGGAGGTCTTAGTCCAACCCCTGCTCAAAGCAAGACCACCCTCAACTCCATCACCCGGGCCTTAAACACCTCCAAGGACGGAGACCCCACCACCACCTCCCTGGGTAGCCTGCTCCAGTGCTTCACCACCCTGCCAGCGAGCAGCATTTCCCTCGTATCCCACCTCAACTTCCCTCGCTGCAACGTGAGGCCGTGGCCGGGCGCGGGGCCGCGCTCTTCTCCCCCAACAATACGGACCCGGCTGTTGCCAGAAGCCCGCGTGTGGCCGGTGGCTCTTCAAGGGGCTGCAG